TCTGTCCGACAATGAAAATCCGTTGTATTGTAAAATTCGTTATATCAAAATTCGTTGTAGAAAGAGTTGACTGTAATAAATCACTATTCTTTTGATTATATTTTTAAAGCTTTTCTTTAAATACTATTATAATATATAATATATAAATTTAAGTATTTTAATACTAATATTCTAATATATCAAAATAATAATTTTATAATTTTATATTGTATTAGGTTTTAATATTAATAAAATGATTATATTTATTATTAAAAATATATGAAATTTAAATTAAAAATTAATGCAAAGCTAAAAAATATAATCATCAGGATTGTTCAACCTAATTTAATTAACATATAATTCTTTACAAATAAAGAACTGATCATTTAATTAAAGAAGATAATAACTTTACTAGTAAATAGCTAATTAAACATTTTAATATATTAAAGTTATTAAAGAACTTGTTAAATTTGGTTAATCAAAGCCATAATGCTTGTTTAACTTTAAATCCCACTTTAGTCATGATTCCAGTATTCTTATTTGCTTCTTCCAAACTAATAAAAATTTAAGTTAGGTAAAAAAAAAAAAAAAAAAAAAAGAGAATAAAACGAATTAACGATATAATAAAACCATACCTTATAATAGGTCTTTCAATAACAAAATCAACATCATCGGCATTACCTATTTCATAACAAGCTTTAACAATTTCATCAACTACTTCATTAACAGCTTGTTGACTTGTTTTTTGTTCTTTTTGTCCGCTTCCTCCAACAAATTTTGTTGCCTCACCAACCAAATTACTTCTAAATGCTTTAAATGCCATAAATTTTTTTGTTTCCGAATCATTATTGTTCTTATAATTATTATTTCTTATACTACCCGAATTTGTTCTACTTGACTCGCCTGACGCTCTATAATATATTATGAAACCATAATTATCTTCGACTGACACACATGATGGATACAATGTAGATAAAATGTACTCTCCTATAAAATAAATAAAAATTATTATAAAAATTTTAAGAAATAGCAAACAATATTTTGGAGAAATTACCTTTTTCAACTGAAGTGATTTCACCTAATCCAATTCGCTTAAATTGCATAACTTTTTCCAAACGATAATGAAACGTGCAAATATATAATGCCTTTTTAGTTAAAAGCAATACCTTTTCTTCATAAGACTTGCCTCGACTAAATAATAAAGATAAATGAACTATCAGAAACAAAAATCTTTGCTTATCAAGCAAAAATAGGAACTTTTATATTCATACAGCGTATTTTGTTCAGTGGGCGATAAAAATGTCCAGCCATTAATCTTTTCCTCATTATCAACAATGACAATAAAACTACTAATTTCAACTATTAGTATAAATTTCATTATTAGCCTTTAAACTTGATAATATATCTATGCGAAATGCAAAATAAATATCACAACACACTTGCAGTAGCTCTAACTTTTGCCCATCTTTCTGCTTCTCCAGGTTGTGATGCTTCAAATTTCTGTTGAAGTTCCTGAAAAACTTCAATTGAATGATTACCCAATATATAATCAATCGTGGCCTATTACATATAATAAAAAGATATTACATAAGGTTTAAGAAGGAAATTTTCTGTCTTCAAATTTTCTTACCTGTCTAAAGAAATCTTTAAACGTATTCTGAAACATACGGGCCAAAGAATTAGATGCATCGTTAACGACGCCTTGTAAATTTCTTTTTCCTAACGAAATTGAAGAAATATATTAAAATGGAACAATAATAACAGAAATATATGTAGTTAACTTACCAGTTCTATAAATAAAATTAATCAAAAAAAAAAGAGACAATAATTAATCACCGACAACCGCAAACGCAAAAACATCAACATCAACATCAACATCAACATCGACATCGACATCGACATCGACATCATCAACCACAACAACAGCATCTGCACAATTAAACTTTTTTATCAAGTTAACTCACCTAGTAAAATCCCCTTTTAGTGCACTGGTTCCAGCGTATTCTCTACTTATAGAATCTCCATTATTTGCCCAGACTATAAATTAATAAATACCAATATTAATAACATAAAATGACATCTTTTAAATTTATAGTTTTTATTTTACCATCATTAAAAATATTTTCAAATTGCTCATAATGAGAAAATCCGCCATCAATAAATTCAGAAATTCCTAATCTAAGCATTTGAAGATTTAAAACTTCCCTAGCGAGAGCACTCTGATAAAGATTATATTAATAAAATAAATATATTTGATGCGCCTCAAAAATTATAAAATCGGCTTGTAATCACATACCTGCACAACGTTTGTCCTATCTAAACAGTCCATACAATTCTGAATTATCAAAATACGAATTAAAATAAATTTCACAAAAAATAAAATAAAATAAAATAATTTCTTAGATAAATATGATATCGAACTGTACGAAAGATTCCTGCTTGTTTGCAATGAATTTCTGCTTCATTTGTCGTTTTACTAGCTTGCCAAAAGTAACTTAAATAAAATAACGATAATAAAAAAACCTTTAGTAAAGAATTTTTTTTTTTTAAAAAAAAAGAAGACCTTAATTTACCCAATTTTACTGAAATTGCGCTCAAGTATTTCAACAAGTTTTAAAATATTTTCATATCTCATTCCTTTACATTCTTTATGAAAATCAAATTCAATATATCTAAAATAAAATTTGGTTAATATAAACTTCTTTCTCTAAATCCTAAACGTTAGGCTACACATACTCGATATTTGTATCGTCTTTGTAACTATTAATTGCTTCGCGGTAAGCTCTTCCAACAATAGCTTCACGATTAATTATTTCTGTTAAATTAATACAATTTATGCTTCCATACATTCCAATTAATTTATCAAAATGTTTTTTAAATGCTAACGAATTGTCATCATCAGAACGTTCTAATACAGGTTTCGGCTTAAGACCATAAGGTGATTGCGACCAAAATAATGGAACTTTTTTTTTTTATAAAAAAAAATATATATTATATATATAATTAGTATTATTCTAAAGTTATCGAATCGTAGTCAGGATTATAACTCACTCGAGCCACGAATTTGTAAAAATGATACTACGTGACTAATTTCTTCAATCTAAAAAGTAAATAACATTAAAACTAAGCGAATTAATATAAATATCTTTTAAGCAAAATTCGAACCTCAATTGAAAGTATTTGCTCAGTTTCAACAAAATTCGCCACATCACCATCTTCATTGATTCCTCTACGTTGGTATCGCAAACCTATCAATTATACCGAAATGTTGAAAAAAACATAATTATAATTAATTATTATTTTTGTAGAATTAAATAATGCTTACCCGCTCTTTCACGACTCCTTCGAGAAATTAATATAAAATCAAATGATCGTTCATCAATCTGACATTTCTCAATTTGAACATAACCTTGCATTATGGGTAATATCCAACCATCAAGCTTTTTGATGTTCAAAAAAAAAATTTAATATATAATTAAATAAATATCAAATCCCGGAAATTTCTATCTACCTCAAGTTCAATAAATCCTTTAAGCATATGTTCATTCCACCAAAACTTCTTATCTGCCTGTATGAAAGCCGTTTTAATATAACATAAATAGGGCAAATATAATCGTTTTTAAAAGAATTTTAACCTGTTTCCAAAGAGGTAGGTCTTCTTTAAATCCCTTTTCATGTTTTTGTTGTAAAGATCTTGTAATATCTAACAATGAAAAAGAAAAAAATCAAATATGATAATTAATAAATTAACGGAAAAAAATAATAAAAGTAAAAATAGTTACCAAGTTCATAAGAATAGAAAAACGCATCGCGAAAGAATGATGCAATTTCTCTAGCAACTCTTGCATCCATTACCTAGAATAAAAATAGTTTTATTAATGAGGATTTTTTTTTTTTAAAAAAAAAAAAAATAAAATAAAATAAATCTTTTAACCAACTTTGTTATCTATGGGATCCTTTATATTGATCGTTTTTGTAGATCCATAATCGCTAGTAATACCATCCCAAACCTCACTAACTCTTTTTGCAGCAGTGGATAAAGGTGACAATTTACCTGGACTTTTTGAAATATCGATATTATTATCACCTGTACTAATAAGTGTACTTTCATTAGTAGTGCTAACCGATGTAAACCCTCCTTCTTTATCGTCATATTCAGAATCCGAACCATTTGAAGATAATGATGGAGATCTTCTTCTATTTAATTCGGCAATTGCTGATTTCATTTTTGATAATAAAGATTGTTGCCTTTTATTTGATTGTGATTCTGGTGATGATGGCGGTATAGGAGGCGGAGGTATAATTGAAATTGATAAAGGTGATGGTGAATCTAAAATTGTTGAAGTTGATGGCAAACTATTTGTCGCTTCCTCTACATCAGTTTCTGTTATTGTGTTAGAAACGTATCTTTTATGCCCTTCCCCTAAATCTTCAAGAAATATATCGGCAGTCACTTGATCTTCTCCATCAACAGGCCAATGCTAAGATTTTTTTTTAAAAAACAATATATATATATATTAAATCATTGTACAATAATTGTATACCACGTACAGGTATTGGGACTATGCGTTACTAATATAATTAATATAATGTCGATCAACATAATAATATTAACAATTATCAGTAAAAGTATAAAAAAAAATCGGTCGCATAGTCCTCATAGACTGTATAATAATAAAGAGTTAAAAAATTCTTAACATACATGTTTATCAAGGATTTTTAGAGCGTCTTCATAATTCAAAGGTAGGACTGCTACTCTTTTAATCATGTAAACAGATTTACCCTGAATTTTACCAAGGTCCTTTCTATCTGTAATAACTATTATGTATTGTGCTATAATAAATCAAAATTACATTATTTACTTAATAGAACTAACTAATCAAAATCCAATTAGAAAAACAATTTTAAATACTAACCTGATAATAACCTTAGCATTCCTACTATGCCAAATACACAATAATACTTTGCGTCCTGAGAAGGATCATGTTTATCTTACAAAGATCAATTAAATCAGTTTATTAAGATTAACTAGATTTCCTCCATATAGAAACTTTTCTTAAAATAAATAATATATATATATACCTTTCCTAGTGATATTTCCAGTTTTCAATTCAATTTCCAAAAAATCCTTTCCTGCAATTAGGACAAAAACATTTTTATCAATTACTAAAGTAATTTTTTTATGAAGTGGTTGTATTGGGATAGCTGGGATAACAGGAGTGACAACTGGCTTTGGTGGTCTCGAAGTTGCTTTTTTGAGTAAAAACATTATAATATTAAAATATTAATTAATTATATGGGGCGTGAAATTGAGGAAAGAAATTTCTATTTTCTTCGAATTTCTCTACTGCTTAAATTGCATCACGAATTACACGAAAACTTTTTAGCTAAAATAGGAAACATACATTAATTTCCCATTTTTCTAATGACGTAATATAGAACAATGATGTAATATAGAACATTGACGTAATTGTGTAATTTGCTTGTGTACTATCTTGAAGCGATAGGAGCGATAGGAAGACTTATATTCAATAGTGCTGGAATAATGTAAGATTTCTCCGACTAATGATTTATAATTTATAACTAACAGGAAAAGGATTATTGTCATGTTTCCACGAAGGAAAATAATTATTTTTAGAAATTCTTGTCAGTTAAACTAAATTCTTCATACTATATAATACGCTACGCTATTTCGTTAAGATATTTGAAAAATAAATTCAGTTTCCCCTCTTGCAATGGTATGAAGATTGACTATTTGACAAATTCGTTATTTTGATCATTGTCCCAATAGATAATTTGTCAAAGTTCTCTGAAAAATTATTGATCATAATAAACAGAGATAACATTATCCAACATTTTAGACTCAAATTTTTTTGCCTGGCAATACTTTGGGTTTATATATATATGTTTGTGTGTGGGTGTGTGTCAAAAGTCAAAACTATATTTAAGTTCTATTAACAAATTTGAGTTTGACTTTTACCATTGTCCAGGCAACTATTTGTCGTTAACGCTGACATCGCTGAGAAAACTAAAATCCAAAAGATCCGGTGAGTAAAAGTATATTTATTTAATTATTTAATGATGTAAGAAGCGTGTAAACAAATATTCGTCATGATGAAATTTGAATGAAATTGACTAAACTGACTTAATGTGAATTTCGCGTGATTAAAATGTGATAAACATAAAAACGGCAAAAATTTTGATATTTGATTGTTTTATTAATCAATAATAAGTGAAGAAATAATTAAAGTTGTTGAATTTACTCAAAGGATTCTACCCTAAAACCACCCACTCTCTCAATGCTTTAGCTCTTTACTATTGGAGAATTATTAACTTTTACGATCACTTCCACTAACTTTTTTTAACACCTCGACAAAGTTCTGCATCTGAAATATAGCGGTTTGATAATCGGCTTTTTTCTTTTTTAAAATAAATCCTTTCCCAGCACACCATTACATTTTGTGTGTTGGAAAAATCGAGGTAATTTATTTTTCTCTATTTTTTAAGAGAAAATTAAATTACGCATTCTTTTGGATTGCTTTGAGACCAAGAAACCAAGATTTATGGTCCTCATAGAACGGAATTGAAATATGGAATATGGAATGATACTAATAATTGTTGGAATGCTTTCTAAGTATTGGGATAGATTGTAGTGTCATTTTTGCATACTCTTCCTTTTCTTTTGTCACGACGGTTGGAAGTCGGCTTGATTAATTTTATTCGCCACTCATATGTATCACGGTGTATCCGGCAACAGGAACTTTCCAAATGGCTGCAAAATTTTTTTTTTTACACACACATATATATATTTACAATTCCATTTAAACAGTCCGAAGGGAAAAATGCACATTGGGGACAAACGCATATCCAAAACGTTCTTCACATTTGAGACAACTGTAATATTTCGGACATTAACGCATTTTGGCTACAACACGGATACATCCACAAAATTTCATATCCCAGTTTCAATGCCACACTGTTCAGAGGATGTTTTCCAAAAATTTATTATATTAAAAATATAAATATAAAAATAAATAAAAAAACAAAACAAAATTATAATATAAAAATAGGTAAATCAGTTTTCTGCGAGATCAGGTTCTTACAATGTCATTTTCCATCTGATCACATTCCTCTTGTTACTTTCCTATCAAAATTCTTTATAATCTGCAATTCTTTGCTAAAAATTAAAAAATATTAATTATGTAACATTACTTAAAACTTTGTAATACTTACCATATTTCTTCTCACTTGTATTTTCATAATTTTGAAGCTTTTCTTGAATCCAGCCCAATTTTTCCTAAAATACGAAACATAATAGTAAATTATTCATCATTGTAAATTGTTTTAAATAAATTATCAAAGCATTGCTTCATAAAAAGTAATACTTTTTTTTTTTTTACCAATGAATATTAATTATGCTAATTGGAATAGTTGAGCTTTTCCAAATATATAAAAACAAAGCTTCTTTTATTTAAAAGGTTAAAAGATCACAGAGATTTTTATATTTGTATAATATTTATATAAAAAAAAGGATTTATTTATCAATTTAAAAGCTTTAAAATAATAAAGCAAAAATTGTTCTAATATTATCTATTAGTATATATTTTTTGTCATAAAAAATAATCCAACTTTTTTCACTTAAATTTTCAAAATAATTAAGTTATATAAATTATTTTATAGTATTATTAATAATAGTCTAAATAAATTAAAACATTAATAATAAATAATAGTAATATAATAATAGTAATACAATATATTATAAATATATTATAAATATAAAATTTATTATTTTTACAAATATCTTATCTGAATTTCTATCTTAATATATCATATGCTTTTAAACTGTTTTTTAATCACCTTTTATTTTACTAATAATTATTTGATTTTTTCATTTAATTTATATATTATTATATTATTCTTTCTAAAAATTTTATAATCTTATTTCTATCTATTTTATTTTTTTAAATATAAGTAATAATAATTTTAATTAAATAAAAACAAATGAAAAAAAAAAATAATTAACATTTAGATAATAAAACTATTTTTTCAAATATTTAAATAATTAATTTTAATTATATTTTACTTCTTTTCTTAATCATGAAAAATTAGATATTAGTTCAACATTATATTACTTACTGCTTAAGATTAAATTACTAAATATTATTTAGTTTTATAATAGTTTTTATATTTTAAATTTTAAATTTTATATAGAAATGATATTTATAAAAAAAAGATATAAATTAAAAAAGAGTTTAATGAATTTGTATATATATGATTAATAAAGATTGAATTATTATAATATTAATTTTTAATAATTAAAACATATGATTAAACATATAATATTAAAAAAATTATATATATTTAAAGTTACTAAATAAAATTTAGAAGTTTTGCAAATCATCTAAATATTAAAGATAAAATTTTACAAAATTCAAAAAAAGTAAAATTATTTTAAAATATAAAATAGTAAAATTATATCAAAATCTTAGTAAAATTAGTAAAATTAAAGATTTAGACATTTTGTCAAATTTAAAATAAGTTTAAATAAACAATCTTATATATATTATAATTAAAAAGATTTATTATATTATTTTTATTATGTTATGAAGTTTTATTAATAATTATATAATAAACATTTTTTAATTACATTTTTTTCATATTTATTATAAAAGATTTAATTTTTAATTTTACTATTAATTACTAAATATGTTTTAAATATAAATAATAATTATATACATATTTAATAAATATATTTCTATTTTTTAATTTTAAAGATAAAATTCTTATTTTTATTTTCTTATTTAAATTGTATTACAATATATTTAAATATAAAAATTAAATAATAAAATTAATTTATATATTATAATTATTAATAATCTATTATTAAGTAATAGGATATTAATATTGTATTTTAATAATATCATATTTTTATTTCAATAAGTTTGAATAGGACATATGAGCTATCTTCTATTTATAAATAAATTTAATTATATAATTTTATTAGTTTAGACTTTATAATATTATTTAAGTAATATTATAATAATTACCTTATTGATCACAATTTAAAATTTTTATAGTATGGTAAATAAATATTAAGATTATATATAATTGAACCATATCTTAAGTATATCATTATATACTTTAATATATAGACCTTTGCAATATAAAAGGTAAAAATAGCCAGAAAAATCAATTTTATTTTTATATGTTAAATATTATTTTTAGATCAAAATATGTAAAAAATATGTTTAGATTTAACATTAACTTATTTTTTATTTTTCTGACCATTTTTTTTTTATTGTAAAGGTTCCATATATTTCTAATTTTTTAATTTTTTATAAATGAATTTTTTAAATAAGTTTAATTTAAAATTCTAATAAAATAAACTATCTACTTAAAATGTATTATTTTTAAGAATTTATAAAATATTTACATAAACTTATTATAAATAGATTCTTTAATTTTCTTATAAAATAAAAACTAATTATTATCTTATAATTTAATATAATTTTTTTAATAAATTTATTTTTTGAATTTTTGAATCTTAAAATGCTAAAATTTTTTTTTCTAAATATTATCTAATACTATAAAAATTAATGATTTATCATTATTTTTTTATAATATAAATCTCTTTAAATAAAAAAATAATTTTGATTTCTTCTTACTATTATATATTATAAAAAAAATTAAATATCTAAATTTAAAATTCATTTAAGTAATTATTATAATTATTATTTAATATATTATTTTTTATTATTTTAAATTTTTATTTATAATTAAATAAAGATTTTTTTATTATATTTTATATATAACTAAATTAATTATTATTAATTAATTATATAATTATTAATTAATTGTAATTAATTATGTAATTAATTAATTAAGTAATTAATAAATTAAAAATACTAAAAAATTCAGCTATTATATTAGAATATAATAGATATTTTATTTTATTAATCAGTTTTAATAATTTTTTAAAAATTGCAATTCAGTTTTATTAAATTATATTTATCAATTAAAACAGTAACATTTATTATAATTTTATAAAATGTGATTAAGATTTAGATATATTTTTGATATATATAATATGTAATTATTAATATTATAAATACATATTTAATATGCAATACTTGTTTTACTTTTTTTTTAAAATATTTATTAATAGAAAATTATACTATATTTATTATGAAGATGTAAGTGAATTTACCTTATAACTTTTACATTACCTTTATTTATTAATCTGAAATGAAATAAAAAACTATATATTTCTATATAAAATATCTTGATGTATATCTGCTCAATAATTGAGTAATGCTGATTAACCTTTGCAATATAATACAAAAGTTTAAATAAAACAAACAGTATAAATTTTTTTAGTTAAAATCATTTTAAACTTAATAACAGTTCTTATTTTTTAATTAATTTAAAATAAATTATATAGTAAATAAAACTAATATGATTTTAATCTCTTTTTAAAAATAAAATTTAGCATTTATATAAGGAAATATGTTATATCAAAAATGATTAATCTAATATCATCCAAGTTGAAAATTATTTAAAATATATATAATTTTATATAGAAAATCAACTTAAAGTTTGCAATTTTTATTAGAAAAAAAATACAATGTTATATTGAAAAAAAGGATATCAAATATAAAAAAAATTATGAAAAAAGTTACTAATACTATATATTCTACTATAAAAATGATTTATATAAATCTATGTCATAATAATTGTTTGTTTATGATTTATTTATTTATTATTTATTAATATATATATATTTGTTTAAAAAAAAAGATTTATTTTTTATATTTATTTTTTTTTTTTTATTAATGCAAATTATTAATTTAGGATTGGATTTATAATATTTTTAATCAAACTTGAATAATCGGCATATGCAACAACCTTTTGTCATAATCATTGTAATCTATAAACACATCTTGGTAATAAAGAATCTCATACTATTATGATTAATTTAGTTAGTTAGTATCGCAATTATATTCTATAATTATAGGTTAATAAAATATATTTACTGTCAATAGTAATATAGGTTAATTTAATATATATATATACTGTCAATAATGAAGCCAGCCAGCCCTTTTTCATTTCCTGAAAAAAATAACCACATAAAAATTATATTAGAATATTAGAAGACGAACGAACATTACGACATTGTATTAGAAGCTGTTGAATATCTTATTATAAATTCCTCGCAAAAGCATCAAAATTATTTAGATTAAGTGTATTTCACAATAATTGATAATTGTATTTTAAGTGCACAAAAATATATATATATATATAAAAACTCAAATACCTACATTTTATTTATTTCGCAAGCAAAGAAATGACAGATAGTGATGATTACGCAAGGATGATAAGATTACTTACTACTACTACACATGGATTTTTTTTTATTATACTCATTAGCTTCAAATGAAAATATTTTAGTTTGTTATAATTTATGGATGATTTATAGGGTTGGGAACGTGTTATACTACTTATTTGAGATCGTGCGACTTGGACATAACAAAGAAAAAGTCTTTGATTATCTTCCGAAGATATAAAAGGCTAAAATCTTTAAAAAAAAAAAAAAAAAACCTCATCCAAGAGAAAAAAAAAAAAAAATAAAATAAAATAAAAATCCCTCAAGAAAAAGATAAAAAAAAGGGAACCGAAACACAATACGTAACTTAGAATCCTTAGCAACCTCCGGTGAAATGAAATGCTAAAAGAGCTACAACCTCTACTGGATGGAAAATAACAGTCCTTGAAAAAAATCCCGCCGAATATTTCCTTTTTTTTTGTTGTAACAAACACCCGCTCTGGAACGCGAATCTCTAAGTCGGTAGATAATTATAAGAAATATTGTGTAAAGAGTAATAATAGTCAGGAAAACTTTCAGAGGCGCGTCGGAAAACAGCGTAGTGATCCCGTGACTCCCCTAATACGGGCCCTCGTATATTTATCTAGAGGCTCATGAAGAAATCTAATTTCAAAATCCACTTTGGAAAAAGAAATTAAAGATAAGAACAACATAATCATTCTCAAAAAAGCCGAGTATTTCTCAATCCAGCGCGAAGTACTCTTAATACTTTATACGATTTTGATTTTCTAAAGATACTACAAGTAATAAGAGGATATCCGAGACGCCACTGATGATTGCTCTGACACGTACTGCGTCAACAATATTTGATTGCATAAGGGATCACGAGACCGGGGTTCAGATCATTATCCTAGACCTCCAAAATTTTTATTTGTTCATCACTAGCCACATTTACCATCTTCACCATCACCATCATTATCATCAACATCAACAGTAGCAAGCGTAACAAAACCACCACCACCATCATCACCATCACCACCATCATCACCATCACCATCACCATCACAACCACCACCACAATCATCATCACAAACACCATTACCATCATTACCACCATTACCATCAGGACCATCACCACTAGCAGTGCGATCATATTCAAATCAATCAACAAATGTATTTGTTCTTAATCAAAGAAAACAAGCAATACATGTTTATGTTGAGTTGTTTAGCGGGTATTGAAATTCATGGTTTGATTATCATGATACTAGCAGTTAGCGGCAAAGGTCCTGGTATTGGAGATTATCAAGTAGCTATTCCTACCAACTTACTTTTTAACGGTACTCCTGTTCCTAATGATGTACCTGCTAATTTCTATATAGATTTATTTACGTTGATAATAGTCAAATATTTTTATTAAAAAAGTTTCTCTATATCAAAATTGATCCCTTTGAAATCGGCGATTGAGCGACATGACGTTTTAGGTCTACTATTTTCATTATTTCCAAATCACGTGTTTTATAGTCATGTGATATAAAACGTACGTAAAAGTCGCGTTAAATATAGAATTATAGTTTTTCGTTTATAAGATCTATCTCAGTTCCGATCAAAATGGAAAAGATCGAGGTATAATAATATATATATTTATTCATACAATTGTAAAGTTTTCTTGCCACTAGATTTATTTGCGAAATTATCCTTTTTAAAACGTCAACGAAACAAGAATCATTAATGATGATGATGACGTAGAAATTCTGGATGAAAGTGGCGACAACGTGGAGACAATTGATATCTAGACTGACCCTAACCCTAACCCTAACCCTAATCCTAACTAATCCTAACTCCTGTATTTTTACTTCCGAACATGTAATACAATCAATAAAAAAAACTTCAAATCAAAGATGATTTCGATCTCTCTCTTTTAAACCATCGTGTGTGTAAAAAAAATGTTGTCATGTCTGTACCCACCAACTCACCAACACGAACGCAACTCATTACAATGGATGTATTAATCTCCTTCTCACATGGTCTCAGCCAGCTTCCATAGCAAGAAAAAATCTTTGACCTGATGAATTCACGATCAAATATTTCAAATATGAGGAATCATAGTTACCTTTTAAGATATTATACGATGGGTTTAGACCGCTTAATATAGAGTTCCTAGGAAAAGGCGTATAAAAGAGCAGTATTAGAAGAGGTATGCAAGAGCTATAAAAATTCATATACCATCAGCATCACTATTGTATACTTTAAACGAAGCTTTAACATCAACATACGCTTCATGGAAGTAGGACTTATTGAACTTGCGACCCAGAGGATCAGGTAATATTTCTTGAAATAAAATATATCATACATTAAATTCTCCTAAAAACTTATCTATCATTTTTATCGTTGATTATATTAATAGTCGCTCTAAGAAGGTTGGCTTTGACCAATATTATCTCGCAGCTTATTTATGAGTAATGAATTTGTAGATATTTTGCAGAACTGAAACATTGAAATATAAAGTGAAGAAAATTAGATATTTCTCAACGTGTAAATTTTTGTAATTTTTCCAGATCAAATGAGAAATTTACATAATATTATTTTTGTAATTAAAAAGTCAATTTTTAAAATAAAGGTAGCATTTATGAAAAGTAAACGCGTTCGAGCAGATGTATAATAATAATATTATTATTATTTTCAATCCTTGGTCATAAGGAAGGAACCCTCATAAAGGATTTATTGCAGAAATTTAATTGGTATGTACATTTTTATTTAAAGTTGAATTTAAATGGTTTTTTTATCTTAAAAATATATACAATCTATCTAGGCATATAAAATTTTTCAAAAAATGAAATGGCATAACACGCTTCCTATTTATACTACATGTTATTAAGTGTAAATTCCTTAACGACGCCCAATTTAACGTAATTATTAATTATTTCAATAATTTCCTCATTAATCTTAAAACTAAATTCTTCCATAGTAAGAGAAAGTGATCTTCGTGGTGTACGATTATTCCAATTAATAAAGAAAAGATTCATCTCTTCTGGACTTAATTCTGAACGCACGTTAAGCGCGTTACCTATGTAACGTATTTTTAATTTATGAAAATTTTTTGGTGAAAATCTCGCAATGATATCAAACAATTCATTCTCCAAATGAAACTTCTTATACCATCCGTATTCACACACGAATTTAATACTTTCCAACTTTTCACACCTATCAAATATTAACTTTAATATATCGAATTCATCATCGACGATGATGGTTGAGAATGATTTTAAATTGGGGCAATATTTAGCCACGGAGGAATTTATTGAATTATTACTATATTCAATAGAAATGTCGATCAAGTGATTCCCATTATTTTCCAAGAACCTATCCAAGTATACGCTCTTTGGAAATTTATATTGAAATTTTAGGGTTCTTAATTTTGGCATCTTAAAGTGTTGAAATTCTTGAAAGGATTCATGGATGTCATAAAATTCGAAGAACACGAGTTCTCGTAAATTTGTGAAATTTGTAAGGAACAACAAAGATTTATTGTCCTCCACATTAATATCTATCCTACTTATAGAATTTAAATGTTTTGTTAAAGAAGGTAAAATTTCTTTTAAACCCTTATTATTTTGCCATAAACGAAGGCACATCAAATGATTTTGGGCGGAAATCAAACTAGTCACCCCCGTAGAAATTACTCTACGAAGCCTAATATCCAAGAATCGAATCTTGTGACAAAATTGTGAAAGTTGAAAGAAAAACTCGGAATGAACGTCCGAACAACATCTAAGTTCCGTTAGATTCCTAAAGCAATCGGTGGCCCCGGGATAAACGGTAAACGTGATATTCGGAACGTAATAAGTTAAGGAGGAACTAGAATAATAATTTAATTCTCTCAAAGAGATTTGATTCATAAACATTTTGAAAACTTCTTGAGTCACAACGGTTATCAAGTATTTACTGGTGATGGGACGATTATTCTTGGGACTTTCAGAGATAAGGGGAAATGCATGATGAAAATTCTTAATCAATTGATGATCTTTGAGGTAGGGATCATTTTTGACAATTTGAATGTATTTAACGAGACGACGCTTAATGATTTGATAATCCTTAATAAGTTGAACGCGATCTGTATCAGATAAGTTCTTACTAAGCAGTCGATTTTTAATAATTTTGTAATTTTGAATTACATTATGATCGTGAAGGATGACCTCAATCGTCCTGGAAATTTCATTTATTGATAATGATTTAACGAAAGAAACGTAATTAAATAAAGGAGGGTTTGAATTTAGAGATGGAAGAATAATTTCATTCTTGAATAAAATTTCTTTTGAATCATCGGGAAGGCATTTAATTAAAGTATTGTAATTAAACACATTCCTCCATAAAAGTTGAACGGAAGTTTCACACCAACGTCGATTAACGAATAAGCATGTGTACAAGGTGAATTTATCCTTTTCCAAGTACTTAAAGATTTCATATAAACAATCATCAGTGAGTAGTTGAAAAGACATTTTTGCTTAAAGCAAAAGATAAAGGGAAAAGGGAGAGAAAAGGAAAAGGAAAAGGAAAGGGGGCGGGGGGATGGAAAAGTTTTAGTACACTTTGCGTTTTAAAAATTTAAAAAATTTTTAAAAATGTGAAAATCCGTCATTAAAGAAAAAAAAAAAAAAGAAAAAAAAAAAAAATGTCAATCATGGAAGCTTTAATAAAAAATCGTTGTGACACAGATGTCAAATTAACGAAACTTTTTTTTTGAAGTTCCGCTTACGTAACCACAAATTAAATCACACTAAAAGTAGTTCCTTGACTAATTGGGGAAAGAAGGTTAAAAAACTGAAACAAAGACAAAATTAAAATTATTATTAATATGCAGACTTATCTATCTTAATTAAGAAATTTGTACGAACGTTAAATTTTTTTTTTTTTGGACGAAATAAAGATCATCAATATATTCAGATAAGAAATATCTTTAATGGTTTTTTTTCGAATGCATTCTGGATATAGGAAATGATTAAGATCATTAAGATCAATTATTATCCCATGCTTAATCTTTGACATGGCAATGAGATCTCATACCCTAATATTATACAAAATAAATTTCATTAATGAAAAAGTTACTACAGGGATTATTGGGAGATTTCCGTTAACCCTCAGTCCAAAAAAAATGAATGGATTGTATTATCCACTTGTCTGAAGAAATGGTTTCCAGACAATTCAAAATTTTTGGGATCTATTTTTTACAATAACCGTTAATAAATGATCATTAACCATTCATAAAGCAATGTTGAACATTGTTGAACATTGTCTGAACATTGGCTCAAACGTTCCTAACCAAAAGATTCCCAGAAAATTGATTATAAAAATCGTATATTCAAAATCGAACCTCATTTAAATGCCTGATCACTCGACATATGTTCAATCTATCATATGAATGACATTTAAAAAAACTTTTCTCGCTTTTCGATCACGACAAAAGATAATTTTATGCTTGGTACAGTACAGACACTACATTAGGAATAGTATGGATCCATGCACGGCAATATCATCTCGAAAAAATTCTTTTAGGAAATACTGGCCACACATCCTTCCTCCAAACTTTGAACCGGTACTTACAAATCTTAGCTTTCACGTATTCTGATTATTATTCTCCTTTTTCAAAATATATGTTTTTTATATTACTTTTTTTTTTATGCAAAGAATTGTTCCCTAGAGATATTCAATTTCTTTCGACCATATGTTCACGGCCGCAATTATTGAAAATAGGAGATATTGAAAAATTATTAGAACAAGCGTATAGAGTAATTACTTAAACAAAAGTTTTCTAATCGTGGAAATAAATGTTAGAAGGTTTTGTTAATATTAACTATTTTATTTGATATATCTTGTAATTTCAAAAAATGTCTGAAATTTATTTATCATCCCAGAATATTCACAGATTCGAATTTATTTTTTTTAAAAAAAAAATGAATCACATATTTATCCAAAAGGTGACTATAAAGGCAGCTTCTGAGAAATAAAGTTTTCAAAAGATCAAACATCTTGAAAAATCTTGTAAATTTTGAAGTATTCCCAATTTATTATACAAAACAGCGTCAAAGTATAAGAGTAATAAAATATACTTTTTTTTAAAAAAATAAAAAGTCGCGGTGATAGCTTTTATTAAATTTTCCAAGAACAGATCTTGCACTACATGATTGTGTAGATCACGTGAATTGAATAGATTATTAATCACATGATAAGTAAAATCATGATAATAAACTTCGACTCAACAGCCTTGCTCTAGTAAGGCCGGAATTTACTCGTTTGAGCAGAGACTTCGTAGTTATATCACCTCCAGAATCAAATAAATTTGCAGCACGATGCTTGGACAAAAGATTTTATAGCAACAATTTTGGACGACTTCAAGGAAGTATTCTATCCTCAACTTTACTTTCTGTTCTTAGGGTATCGTGTCAGGTTACGCCCTGAACTGCTGATATAGTGTCGCCTTTATCTCATGTTTGCGCCTCCTTGATAATCTGTTCTTAGTAAAGCATGAAATTTTTTTTTTTTTTTTTCAAAATTTGAAAATAAGGTGGTCGTGATTGATTGGCCTTGTGTCCTCAAAAAAAAAAAAAGGAATGCTACAAAATCCTTTAAGCTGATTGCTTTTGATCAATTTTATTGCCATCGAAATGTATTAACAACGTATCAACATAAGACAAATGCAGAATTCAAGAAGTTCGCAAAAAAACAAACATATACGAAATATTCAAACGAGATTTCGGAGAGCAATTGAAGAAACTGCTACAATTTCGATTACAAGCGA